CCCCATGCAACACTATAGGCTTGGGGAAGAGTGGCTGGAAAGCTGCCCAGCGGAAAAGGACCTGGGGTGGTTGAGCCAGCAGTGTGCCCAGGTAGCCAAGGAGGCCAGCAACATCCTGGCTTGTATCAGGAATAGCGTGACCAGCAGGAGTAGGGAAGTGATCCTGCCCTTGTACTCGGCAGTGGTGAGGCCGCACCTCAAATACTATGTTCAGTTTTGGGCCACTCAGTACAAGAAGGACGTTGAGGTACTGGAGCGTGTCCAAAGAAGGGCAACGAGGCTGGTGAGGGGTCTAAAGAGCAAGTCTTATGAGGAGTGACTGACGGAGCTGGGGCTGTTTAGTCTGGAGAAGAGGAGGCTGAGAGGGGACCTTATGGCTCTCTACAACTACCTGAAAGGAGGTTGTAGTGAGGTGGGTGTTGGTCTCTTCTCCCAGGTAACTAGTGATAGGACGAGAGGCAATGGCCTCAAGTTGCATCAGGGGAGGTTTAGATTAGATATTAGGAAATATTTCTTTGCCAAAAGAGTGGTCAGACATTGGAATAGGCTGCCCAGGGAGGTGGTTGAGTCCCCATCCCTGGAGGTCTTCAAAATACGTGTATCTGTGGCACTTCGAGATAGGGTTTAGTAGGCGTGGTGGTGTTGGGTTGATGGTTGGACTTGATGATATTAGAGGTCTTTTCCAACCTATGATTCTGTGATGATTCTATGATTTTATGATTCTAAAGGCTAGAAAGAAAGAAATATCAAACATCCAAGAGGTTTCAAAACTTGTTTAGTATCAATTTTATTTCCTAGACCTTGGGAGGAGCCATTCTGCAATGACATCTGTATGCTTATTGCTACTGTAGGCTTGTTGCTTGTATACTGTATGGCCAGTCTGTCTTGAGAGCTTAATCTTACAGAGTTATTTGTCTCCATAGGAATGTTTCCACACTTAGGCAATTGATCTCCCATTCAGTGAAACTCACAAAGGCACTTAAAGATTAGTTACCTTCCATTAGTTAGGGGAGAAAGCTACTTTTAGTGAAGGGTGATCCCTCCTGAAGGATCTATTATAGTTGTCTGACATTTCAGGCATCTCACGTAGCACAGGTCGGTCCAGATGCTTCTGTAGAATTAACAGTCACAGAGTGTGGAACTTCTCAGAAAATCAGTGGGTGAAAATATAACCCTCATCCTCAGAATGTGGTGGGAGCTACTGTTGTTTTTTGCAACAACTGAAGGAATTATTTGCTTTCCCAAAGCAAGAAAATAATTTGGAAAATAGTAGAGCAGAATAATATAATCAAACTCACTGCCTCCATCCCTTAACACCTTTTATCACCTTCTCTGTGTGGCTGTTTTTTTTTTTATTTGTTTTGTTTATGGGTTTGTTTTGTTTTTTTTAATTAAAGGCTGAACATTATGACCAGAGCTTTAGATGTTCTTATAAGAGAGCCTGTGTCTGTGGAAAGGGCACCTTCTGCTACCTGGATATGAACATGAAGTCTGTGGGAAAAGGCTTTGATTTCTATTTCAGAAAGGGGATTCTGCCTCGAGCTCCAAGACATTACTTAGAAGATATTCAAGTGGTAGCATCCCATTAGAGCTGGCAGAGACTCCAAGCTCCTAGATTTGATAAAAGAGAAACTTTTTGACAATAAAATTTCTAACTCTGTATGAGTGTGTGACAAACTGAGCAAAGGTGGGGAGAGATGGATCTGAAAATGAAGACTCATCTGCAAAGCGTGACTGATTTTCTGAAAATGGAATAGTTTCTTGGTAAACTGATCATATACTGTAGGATGTATTTGCTGGTAGAGTGGATGATACAGTGGATGCTCTGTAAATAACAAGCTAGTGCTTTTGAAGGATGGATAAAATGATCAAAAAGGTCTCTTGTCTGTTCTCTTCAATGTCAGACAGCTACCGTAATTATGAAAAATTTCCTGTATATGCATACATCCAAGCTGTTATATTGCTCTGTTCTGAAATGACTGGCATTTGAACTTAAAATGCTCATGCAAAAGGCAGTTTATGCTTTTTTTTTTTTCATTTTTTTAAGGTGGAAAGGAATCAGAGGCTCAAGCAAGGCAAAAACAGCAAATGATGCTCATGCAATCTAAATACCAGCAAAAGGTCGGGAAGAATAAGATTTGTTTGTTTATTTTAAGAGCTCAAAAAAAACCTTTTCATGAAGTGTTTCATATGGTGATAAAATGAACTCACAGCTGCTTGACAAAAGAAAGTCATGAAACCTGAAGGAAGCAGCGGAAAACTAGAAACAAATGTTCTGCACCAAAGAAAATGAGAAATCTGACTATAAATGTGTAGCAACCGGTATTGCAGATCATATCTAAAATGATAACCAGTACAGTTGTAAAGCCACTTGTATGCCTCACTGTACCTTCTGGCATGCTGCCTGCACTTGGACTAATTGATCACTGTGCCACCTGATCCAGTGCTTATGTAGATATGTTGTTCCTGTTACAAAAGGTACAAATGCTTGTATGTTATCAATCAGCTGTGTGATTCCTTGCATGGATGCCCATTTATCAGTCCTAGATTTCTCAGCCTTCATAAAGCCAACATTGGATTAGCTGGTGCACAGCCTGCTTTATTCAGTGCCTCATTTTAAGAAAAAAATCTGGAAACTTTCCTCAAACACACTTTAGGTTTGAAAGATGTGCAGTACAGGAATCAAGACAAGTTACCTTATGTGTTCTTTGTATACATACATATGTAATTTTCTATGTTTATGTCATACAGCACAAGAGAGAAGAATACGTAAAAGCAAAGAAGGCAGCTGAAGAAGCTGAAATCATGAAAAAGAAAGCAATTCAGAGAGAAAAGGTAAACATGGTTCCTGCAGAGTTGGAGGCAGCAAAGTTCATGTCTTGACGCTTGATTTAGCTGAACTACATGGTCTGCAGGGTAATCAAATTAAATGGTGGCCCAGGATTACATCAAGGAGTTAGGAAATCCAGTCCTCCTCTTTGTAGCTGACTGAAGGGTGCCTGACCTGGTGTTCTCTGGGGCTTGAGCGTTCCTTCGGCTCTTCAGAAACTCCAGCCTTTCATTTTCGTCCATTCTGAAGAGTTAACAGAAAGAGAGAACGCTAATGCGGTGTATACAGGTTATATAGTTCACTTTGGCATGAGCTTTCTCTGTAAGATCAGATTGTGGCAGATGGCACAAAGACCTCATAGCAATCCATAATTGCCTGCTGTACACATGGGAAGAATACAAGAAAATCTGGCCTGTTGTGGTGGAAAAGGCATCCAGATCATGAAAAGCTCAGTGTAGGCTGTCTGCACTGTGCTGAGTGCACCCTGAAATTCAGATGCCCCTCCGGCCTCTCTGGGGGGGCACACCCAGATGTATTGATAATATGTAAGATCACTTTTCCTTCCAGTATTGGCCATATATTGTCACCCATGATAGCTCACTTATCTTCTGCTTTATTTTCTGTTTGTTTTTTTCATTTTTCTAGTAATTCTCACAAAGCATCTTCTCATCCTGTGTGCTGCACAAACCTTTGTAAAAGTTCCTTCACGGTGGAAATGAACTAGCACTCGGTTGAGAACGCAATGTGGAATTTAAATGAAAAAAGAAAAGATAGGGAGCGTGATACTGATGTGCACAGTAGTAATGAGAGAAAGGGAGATTTCAGGTTTGCAAGTTTTGTCTCCACAACAGTGGAAATTGTCTTCTGCGCAGAAGCTGAATGTTGAGAGTTAATTAAAAAATCATCACTATCAGATGACCTACAAGGACATGCACAAACAAAAATAGCGTTAGTTGCCTCTAGGTAAGGGTTAGCCTGTTCCCAGTCTTTCAGTGGTTAGCATTAGTCTTTGGGGATAAGCCCATACACAGTAGCTCACAGGGGCAATAAATATTATCATGTCAAAATGTCATTAACAGTTACCAGCTCATGCATAGCTCTAGAAGCAGTGATGACAGCAATGGTAGAAAGGGGATTAATTATATTTTATTCACCTATTAAATATATGTTGTTTGCCCATGGGCATTGGACAAGAAAAATGTTGCAAGACTACTATAATTTATAGTCACACATAGAAAATATATTGATGTATCAGTTTTGGTTTCATGCTCTGTAATTTCCTTACCTTCACTCCCACAGATTATAAAATCTTTATAGATGTTGTAGATAGTAAAATTGTAACTATCAGTTTCTTCTAAAGGAGAATGCAACATCATGGCAAACATCTTTGCCAAACAGATTGTTTAATTCGAATAAATAAACATATACCCACAAAGCAAACAAATAGAACAGAGGAGCGTGAAAGGGAACTCTTAATTTGAATTTGTTTATTCGGGTTGTCTTCCATAATACTGACTGAGCTGATGAAGATTTCTGCTTGGAAGATGTTTATATATTAAAATTTCAACTCTGTTTAAGAAGAGCATACTGGAAAGTCACTAGAAGTTGTCGATTTGGCTATCCCACCCTGCCTGCAAATGAAAGGCTCCTGAGAGCTGAGGATGATGGGAAAGACATCCTAAAGAACTGCTACTGTAGGGTCAACATTGCACCCTGGTTGCTGCAGAAGAGGAACTTTTTTTCTTGAAGTACTAGATTTGTAGGCAACTGTACCTGCAGGGCATCAGTCAAGAGCATGTCTTTCTGCAAATTCACAAGGTGCCCTTTCTTGCTGGCCAGTCCTTCTTTTGCTTGAGGTTATTATTCATTCAGTAAAAAACAAATTGTCTGACAGGCTGAAGGGAGATAATGGCTAGCCAGCCATTGGATAGAGATAATGGCTAACCAGCTTTATCAACAGAGACCCTGAAACTTGCACAGCTGGAGAGCTACTTTGCCAAGAAGCATGAATGTTTAGGGTGGTGAAACTCTGGAACGGGTTGCCCAAGAGAGGTAGTGGAGGCCCCATCACTTGAAACATTCAAGGTCAGTTTGGATGGGGGTCTGAGTAACCTCGTCTCATTGAAGATGTCCCTGCTCATTGCTGGGGGGTTCGACCTAGGTGACATTTAATGGTCCCTTCAAACCCAAAGCATTCTATGATTCTGTGATTCTGTGAATGGTGAAGCCCCACAGACTAGTGCACAAATGTCTAGAATGGGTGCTGGTACTCAGCTCACTTCTTCCTTGCTTTCAAGGATGGTATACTGTAAGCCAGTGCTGCTTATGAACATAGGATCTTTTTATGTTACTGCTTTAATGCTGGTTTTGCAGAGAAAAGCAGTATCCACTCTCCCGTTGTCTTTTTGACCAAGAGAAAAATGGTGTCTGCCAAAGCACTACCCAAATGTGAAAGGTCTGCCTTACCATCTGTACGAGTCCACCTGCCTGTCTCTGTCATGTTTTAATTAACCGTGAGGTTAGGTGCTGGAATACTAACGCTCTTGGCACCAACGTAGTCTCTTTCCAGCTCCCGGAGAGAAGAAAAGTGGATCCTTCCCCCTCATTCTGTGTTCAATGGACCGGTTTGTGTGAAGTGGTGCTTGAGTCTCCGTGTGTAGCAGGGAATGGGATTTGGGATCCTGCGCGCTCCGCATCAGGCAGCTTGTTGTGGGACTGCTGTGATTTGTTGGTGGAGTAACCCTGGGCTGCATGAGTTTGGATAGTCTTCTAAGCTAGTGATCTCTAAGTGCTCACTGAAATAATTTTGGAGCAACTTTGTAACGTTAGCAGGGGAGTCCCTATTTCTGTGTTTGCCCCTAGTACTGAGGTGCATGTCTGATTCACAGAAAGCGTGGGAGTACATGGGAAGTAAAGTTGTTATTATTATTTGCTCATTAGTAGCAGGCATCTGCAGTTGGGTTTTTTTTGTGCAGCCCTTCACATCACAGATTTTGACCAGACTGCACCATAACTTCCTTTGTGCATTTTGGGTGAAAGAACTGTCGAAGTTCGCAAGAAAATAAACACACGGCCGATATTTGGCTTCTTGTTTTTTAAGCTTTCTGCATTTGTGCTGTACACAAAATAGCACAACTCTGGTGCACTGAATTTTTCTGTTTCCTGCCATTCAATCTCTGTTCCTGTTACCCTGCCTTTAGGCTTTCCTTGTATGTTCTAAATCTTGACTAAATCTTAAAAGATTCCAAAGATTTGAAGTGAAAAGGCTCAGTGTAATTCTGCTGCATGCAACTTTCTTTTCTTCTTACATTGAATAGTAACAGTCCTGCCATCTTTAGAAACTGTCCTATTTAGAATAAGCTGTGATTTCATTTTATTCTTTATCAAATCATGTGCTCTTTAATTTGACTGTGTTATTCAGCATGAATGGCCTTTTGCGGGAATTTGTTAAAACCAGGCACTTTACAGACCTTCTGCTAATGCTTTTCAACATGTTTACCTTCAATATCACAGCTGTTCCATTCTTGGCTTTGTTTTTGAAGACCATGCCAAATGTGGGGTGCTTTGGCAACATCTATTGATATATTGGCATTAGTCAGAGAATGTCCCAGTCCCATTGCCTGTCATTTGTACGTGTCCTAAGCAGGGATCCCAGGGTAAACCGCCAGAGTAGAAGGCAGTCACACCAGCCACAAGTAAACAATTTCAATATGCTGGAGTTTTCTTCAGGCACCATTCTGGTGGTAGAATAGCTGTAGGATATTTCCTTCTTTTTTATCTAGCGGAAGATGGGAGTGATATTGAAGGACTGTATTTATCAAAGTTAATATCACTGTGTTGCTCTAGCTGGGAGCTAGACCACAGCAACTCCGGTGAGCTTTGGATTTGAACTTTCAGGAGCCTTGCAATATGATGGTGGATCCCATGCCAAATGCATTTCCAGAGGTGAAGGCATCAGCTTTCAGTGTTGAGCAGAGGTGGGCAAAAGCCTGGGAGTTATCACTGGTGTCATGGGGGTGTCAACATCACCTTTGACAGTAATAGAGGCCATCAGGTTTGCTTTCTTCCTCTTTTCTTTCTTTCCCTGCAAGTTGTGAAGTTGGACAGACGGGAGGGAGTCTTTTACCAAAAAAAATAATCTGTTTCTGGGTGGAGGGGTTAGGACCAAACAAGATAGCCCTTGAATACTATAATAATTTACCTATACCATGGGCTGATAATCCTTACTTTAGTTTGATTATTTTTTTAATTACCTCGATACTGCATGCGTTCTATTACCGTCTCAGCATGTCAGATGACTGAGCAACAGGACACCTTATTCAAAGATCTATCTTCCTCCTTTATTTATTTTCTCATTGCCTTTTCCCAAATAACAACTTATAGGCCATCTGCCTTCCAACAGTTTGTACCGTTACACAACATAGTGGCTCTTTTCCTATCTGCAGACATCTGGCAGGATTTTTTTTTCTTAATCCAGTACATGCCGAGGAGGAATTTGCACTTGTTTTGCAAATCTCTTCCAGACAGTCATTCTTTATCCAATTAAAAAGTACCCTGAAATCACTGAAGGCAAAGTGATTGAGTAACTGCCAGTAGAACTGTAATTTTTCTGAGATGTTAGTGATTACAGGACAGGAAGAAAATGATGGGGGTGGGGGTTACAGCCCTGTTCTTAACAACACTTTCCCCCTTTACACACGCACACTCCCCCTGTGCTACCTGGCCTTGCACAGTACCTCCAGCCAGATACGGTGTCCTCTCCCTGATTTGGGGCTCTGAGCAAACAGGCCATTCCCACCTACAGCTCCCTTCTCATCTCTGCAAGGTACTGTCTGAAATTTCCAGGGTATTTCATTTAGAGCAATGTCTGGTTGCTGGGTTACCAGACAATTACTTTTTTTCATTTAGAGGGTGAGCGATGAGTAGAGCGACAGTCCGAGACTGCAGTTTGCTCAACGTGCTAGTTGTTGTGAACCTCCGGTGGGAGCTCTTCTTGGAGCATCCCCCCACCAACTGCAGTGTGGGAGCTTGTGCTCAAAATGTACCAGGGCTGAAGTCCCTGTTTGGCACTTCTGATTTGTGCTTTTAATACACTGAACTGCCTTTTGAGTGCTCTTCCCACTGGACCTACCCACAGCCTGAATGTCAAAAAACCACATTTGGCTGGCCTCCTTTTGACTGGAATTTAGCCTGAGCTATGTATTGCTGTTGCAGCAAGTTGTCTAGTTTCTGCTCTAGTTTAATATTTTATTCTATCTGAATTTGGGGGATGAGGCAACTTAGATGACCCTTCTACCGGAAATTATGTGCAATTTTATGTTAAAGGACTTCATAACTTGTATGGTGTCCAGTTTTCCAGAGAAGTTTTGTGTGTCAAGGATTTGTTTGACTCTTGCACTGAGAATGGTAAATGAGGCAGAGTAACACTGGTTAAGTACAAATGTCTCCCACTTTCATCCATCTTAGCATGTATTCAGCTGGCCAGTACCTAATGCTCCTGAAGGCCACAGGTCTATGTGCAGAGCTGCAAGTACTCATATGACTGTGCTTTCAGTTCTACAAGACTATCATCTGCTTTGGTACAGTGGTTCGCATTCTCTGTCTTCTTACTAGGACCAACATTGCATCAGTTACACCAAGAGATGGTCCCAACCAGTGCAGTGGCTTGAGAACTGTGAAGCCTCACGAGGCTCTTTGTGAGAGCATAGATGGGTCTGCCAGGAGCACCCTGTGGTTTTCTATTTCAGACTGGTCTCTTGACTAGGAGCTGTTTGGTCATGTCTGAATGCTTTTAAAATTGAGATTGGGCCACTTCTGTACCCAACTGCTGCTATAGTTGTTTTAAAAATCAGAATCTTGAAATACTTGAATTGAAATAATGAAGATTTGCTTCTGGCTTGTTGGAAATCTCAAGTATGTTTTCCTGTTTTTAATACTGTAGGCAGAGAGACTTGAAGTTAAAAAAAGGCAACAAGAAATGCAAAGAAGAGAGATGTTTCTTGAAAATCAATATTAGTAAGTATAATATGAAACTTATTACCTGAAATTCCTCATCTGCTTGTCCTTCTATTTGTTTGGGTTTTTTTTTTCTTTGTTTGCTTTGGTCTGATTTGGGGCTCAGGAAGGGTTTGGCTTCTGTTGATACTTTTTCAGTTTTTGACTTGAAACTTTTGACTTCAAGACAAGAGGCAATGGGAACAAACTGAAATATAGGAGATTCCTCCTGAATGTCAGGAAATGCTTATTTACTGTGAGGGTGACTGAGCACAGGCACAGGTTGCCCAGGGAGGTTGTACAGTCTCCATCCTTGGAGATATTCAAAAGTTCTGGGCAACTGGCTCAAGGTGGCCCTGCTTGAGTAGGGGTTGGACAGGATGACCTCCAGAGGTCCCTTGCTACCTCAACCACTCTATGATTCTGTGAAATATTCCAAGCCTCCTCCATACCTTATTCTGTGAGCAATTTGGTTCAGTACATTTCTCTTAGTGTCTGAAAACATACATTTTGCAATGAAAACTGTGAATTATGGGATGACTTTGTGCTTTCTTTCTCTAACTGAATCAATATGTGATCATTCAATCCAAGACTAATTATCAAAACAGGTTCTAAATTACATTTCCACCCCTTTATTTTAGTGATTAGTAAAGAAATCTATCCCACGTGGAAATAATGAGGAATTCCTGTATTTAGCATAATCCTACAGCTTAAATGTAGACATCTGCTGTGAAGACCTGTTTTCCAAGAATACCTCCTTAATGTCAGATTTAGATATGACTTAACTCCTGAAATAATTAATTCCACTGGCAGTGAAGTTCCTGCCTCGCCTGTTCACCCAACTCTGTTTATTTATTTTTAACTGATCCAAGCCAATGCTATCACATAATTAACACCCAATGCTGTTTAGTCACCTTTACCTTTTTTTATCTTTGGGTCCTGAAATTACTCACCTGTGTTCTCAGCATGATTGATTGCTCTTTCCTCCTCTGTGACATTTAGAGGAGTCACTTTTGTCCTATGCTAGTAGCTCCAGTTCCTTCATCATTTGCCCAGACTCTGTTCTCTAATGTATAGACATTTTAGTGCTTTCTTACTGATCTCAGCCTTTCTTGTCTTTTTCCTTTTATATCTTCCCATTTGGCTTTGTGTACAGCTCTTTCCTTAAATATATTTTGGCAATGTTTGTCTCTAGATATTGGTATTTTGCCTGCTGTTTGTCCTCTGTTTGTCCTAATGTGGATTTCCCACATGCACACCTTGATTCCTCAGGATTTCTGAAGACTCTGCACAGCTTTAGTTTCTGACAGACTAGACACCCTTATGCTCTTTGAGCCTAACTCAAGAACAACCTCATCAGATGTTTTCAGTGCAGGGCCCTCAGTTATGTGACTTGCATTTTCCTGAGGGGATTGTCGGGGTTCTTAACTTCACATTTAATCTGATTTTTTTGTCTTAGAGCTTATTCAGTTATGAACAGAGACAGATCTCTTTCTTTTCCTCAGCTACCCTGTCTGTAACTTCTTTTGTCTAGGGTGAAATGAATTCTGCTGATCAGCGCTTTTTCCATTAAAAGCAAGCTTCATTCTGTCAAAAGTGAATGCAGTTTTGATTAGGCAAAAACCTTCCATGCAGTACAAAGGGACACTAGTGCCTTCCCTGGTCTGAAACAATCCTCTGATGGGCAGAGGAAGAGGAGTCTTTACCACTGGCTGTTGCTGAGGTTGCATTGCTAAGATGCATTGGCATTATGGAGCACAACATGTAGGAGTAATGGAAAGAGATGTGCACATCTCAGATCTTGTAATGCAACTCCATCGAAGTACTGGCTGTTATTAGAGACATGTTTGCATAAAAGTGCTTGGTATTTATGTACGTGCTTTTGCATACTCTGCAGAAATGAGTGACTCATTACTTCCATCATCTAAGACCCTATGACTAAAGGCAAAGAGAATAAATATGAGGTTGTGCACCTTCCCTCTCTGTCTCTACTAGAGTATTTTGATCTTCTTCACTACTTGCTGGGAGAGGGGGAGAGGAAGGTCATGCGCTGCATATAAAGCAATGACCTATGCAAAGTCATGGCCTGTGGAGCCATTTCAAAAGATAAGCTGCCTTGTTAGTCTGTTCTCTATAAGCATCTGTAGCTGCAACATCACAATTTTCCTGAGGAGATCAATGCCTACCAGCAGTCTCATTAGCTGGGAAATCTTTTAAAATTGATCACCAACTCTAGCTGTATCATCCTCCATGGGGTACATCCCAATCAGTACCTCTCTTGTATGACGTGCTGCTTCTATTTGATAAGGAAAGGCACTTAAGATTCTCATGTCATTAACATACTCTGACAATAAAGTATGATGCTGCCCAGAAGTTCGTTGTTCTGACTGAATTCCTGTCATGATTAAAACCAAGAACTTCTTCCTGAAATCCTGCTTCAAAGGGAGTAACATGAAGTAAGTAAATGCCGAAAGAAAAAATTGCCTGCAACCTTGTCCGCCATCTGCAAAGCACAGTTATTTCCCATCTCTTGAAAGCCTTGTTAGCTTCTTTGTGTACAACCGGCCCTTGAAAGTCAGCAGTATCTGTTGTCGCTGTTGCTTGAGTATGAGTTTGTGCCTTGTGACAATGAGGTCTAGACACGCATGCAGAGTGCTGTGGAAAACTCTTCAAGCCTCTCTCTTTTGGGATCAGCAGCTCCTCTGACCCAGGTGCACTCAAGTTCTATTAGGTGACTAAATTGAATAAACTCACAAGGTGTCTCCTAAAGTAGCTGTGTATAAAAAGCCTGAAGAGCACATGGGAGCAGACTTTGGGCCAGGGGAGTTGCTGCATGGTAGAATTACTACGGTTTGTACTAACAGAGGAGAAACACTTGAGGGATTTATTGGTGAAAGCGTCACTGTGGTTCTGCCTCCGCAGATGCCAAATCTAGAAAATAAGGATGTGTGCACTTTTCTACTGGAAACTACTTACACATGAAATGGAATCCTTCCTTCTGAGTAATGGTGTCTTGGATGTGTTTTACATTGATGGCCTGTGGTAGAGACTGTTTCTGTCAGAGTGCATTAGAAGTTACTGAATGCTTGTGTAGTCCATACTTCGCAACTTGCAGTCCTTGCGAGGGAAGGACTGGGTGTCCATCTTTCCAAATGGGAACAAAGAAGAGGTTAGATGGATGGCCCAGGACTTTTCAGGACAACCCTGTTTACTTGGGACACAAAAATTGTCATTTAAACATTAATGAGGGATGGTCACCTCGTGACTTGCTTTTCTCTGTGGCTTGCTGTGCAGGCTGTATGAATCCATGCCTGAACTGTAGCGTGTCTCACCATATGGTTTTAGCCCAGCTCTCTAGTAAGGTGCTTTTATTTAATTTGGATTCAACTTCCCAGAAACTGTAGTGTTGGATGTGGTCCATGGCTTTTCTGATAGCCACCTACCTATTTATGTAATGGGAAAAGCTGTCTAGAACATAGGTTTTCTTTTTAATAGTACATGATGGATGTTGTATCACTTCATCCTTCCATTTGTTACATATTCGTGCGTCTGTTTATGTGAAGGTTGTACTCCTGTAAAAATTCCTGGCACTGCTGCACTCGAGTACATGTGTGCACTCAATATATTCTGCTCAGAATTTGGAGCTGGAAACAGAATTTGCCAGGGTGCCTCTAAGTGCACATTCCAAGCACAATGCAGGAGGTTCACCAAACCAAGCTGATATACACTAGCCTGCCAAAGCAGTTTTCTAAAAACTCATAAAATGCAAAAAAATAAACCTGAATCAAAACAGAATTTTTATTTATTTATCTATTTTTACAGGATAAATACTAGTGTCCTTGCCAGTTTTCAGTCCCCTATGATGTGTGGTTCAAACAGCAGGCTGGTAACAAATTTTCCCCACAGAAGTGCAAATGTAAACCTGACCAGACTTTTAACATAGCTTGCTAGAGAGAATGAAAGAGGGCTTGCACAAAAAGGGTTTGCAGCCTTGAGAATCTTTTGTTTGCTTCTTTTCACCACAATGGTCTTCGTTTTGTTCATTTGCTCCTGATTATTTTAAGCGTTGTCAATTATTTAGCTAACAGGCAGAAAACTAGGCTTTTACAGACATCCAAAGGGACTCTCTTGAGTGTAATAATGAAGGCAGTTTATTGAACGCCTGTGAGGTTGCTTTCTAATTGTACGCATTAATCTGCCCATGCAAGCTGGCTGAAAATATAGAAGCAGATTGCACATGCAGATGGAGCACACAGAATGGGAGATCTATGCAATAGACTTGTACAAAACTGCATTTTCCTTAAAACTGGATTTATGCTTATTACTTCAGATTATAAATGAAACTTGATGTCTAAAATAACTTCCAGGAACATTGGATGAGTTGGTGGGAGGAAAGAATAGCCTAGCTGTATTATTTCATCCAGTCAGGAAAACAAAAAAAGCAAGTGGGTTGACAGGAAAGATTAGTTTTGGGTGTGGGTGGCAAGTGAAGAAAATAATTCTGCTGAGAAAGTTGCCTTTTTTTAAAAAAAACCCCTATTTTTATACTTTCTTGAAGCGTTATACCTAAGATGAATGAGTGCCACATTTTTTGTTCTTATCCCCAAGAACAGGAACACATGCTCAAGAACTTGCAGACAAGAATACCTAGCAGCCAAAGACAGCACAGTCTTGATCACTTTCATTAGATTTGTCTCCTTAGTATGCTTGTGCATTACTCCCAGTGAAGTCTGTGAATACTGCATTAAGCTCAGTATGTGGCTACTGCTGGAAAGCAAGTGAACTAAATACCCAGAGGGTGGCCTTGCCTCTCAGGAAAGCCATTGGGGAAGAGCCATCGACATCATACTGGAATTTTATGGGTTAATTATTTCCCATTGTAATTTTTCTCCTTAGAGCTTCCAGCAAAACATGAACTCCCCACCCACGTGCTCCCCCCACCCCCAAACACATCAGTTCATGCTGACAACTTTGCAAGTGGCTGATGTTTGTTCTTTCTTCTTACCCCAAAGCGGACTGTG